CCCACATTTAGTCTGTTGCAGTCATCCAGCCTGGGAGAGTGCTGAAGAATACCATGTACACTGCCTTGCCTTTCCATCATGGAAGAAAGACAGGGTATAAATGGAATAAATATCATTAATAAATAAATTGGTAGGTTGAGCCAGGGGTGGCCAGGGTTTGGTTCCAGAAAGCATGCTATGATATGAATGCATTTGCAATAACTCTGAATAATCTTACAGCCCCAATCTCTTTCCCATCTCATTTTTACCACATTATACCTCTGGGCAAACAAGCAGGACTCATGTACCTTGTGCTGCTGTTGGTGTGCATTAAAAAATAAGTTGATATTTCATATTACTCCCTCTGTTACTGGCATGCATACACTGTGTACATCAATGGCACTATATACACAAGGAAACATCTAATCAATAGCAACTACCACAAGCTGAATTCCCAATTCCTACAGTTGCTGTATGTTTGCATGTCACCCAGGTGTTACAGGTACAGGAGCCCATTGAGGAAGAGGAAAAATCATGCTGACAATCCCAAGGATGGAATCAATTTTCAGAGCTGGTGTCAGATGAAATCTCAACTTCTCAGCAACCTCTATTGTTTTTGTCTAGACATGAAAAGTATACTGCCTCTGAGCACATGTTTTAGTTTGTTTATTAAAACAGATCTATGCTGCCTTTTGATTGAAAATCTCCAAGGCAGCTTAAAGTGCATAACTAAAAAGAGCAGAAATTAAAACCATTGCATAAAACCCAAGGCAGCAAACTAATAAAAGCAGCAGAAGCCAAACCAAACACACAAAGTAAGCAGGAACAGCATTCGTTTGTCAGTTAGGGAGTCATCATACTCCAAAAGATACCTGAAAAAAATCAGCCTTATGTCAGAAAGGAAGAGAATAGTATGAGTGCTCTTCCTCTTACTATTGAGGCATTGCCATAACCACCAGCCACTTCTGAAGGCAACAGTTTTCTAGATCAGGGTTCATGCCTTATCTAGAAAACTGTTGCCTTCAAAGGTGGCTGGTGGTTATGGCAATGCCTCAGTGGTAAAAGGCATTTACTTGTAAAGCCCTCATATTTTATTTTCTTTATTAATTGAAACAGAAAGCTGGGTGTTGATGCTGCTCACCAGGTGTTTGACTAGAAGGTTGGGCAACCTTCTCCAAAGACTGGAAATAACACAGATATATAGACTTGCATTGTACCTCCTACACTGGAAATGCTTTACAAACGATGCTCACCTTTTTATTATTTATAAAGTCAAAGGAATAAATACATGTTAGTGTGAAAGTCACCCCAGTGCAGAGGCGATTAATCTTCACCTGGCAGGAAAAGCCACACATACGTGACCTTCCATGAAACCCTCTGCCAAACGGAGGTGAAAAAAAATTACACTTCGGTCTTTCAAACAGAGGTGGCTGTGTACACAACCACCAGCTTTTTTTGTAGCTAGGTCATTCTTTTCCCCAATTTGGACTGAAGCTGTTTGGGTGGTGGGGTGGGAATGCATCAAAACACTGTATTTCATACAAATGGCAGGATAGGTGTAGATTGTGGCTAATGCTGTTTGTACACTGCTTCCCAAACCAACAGTGGGAGCACACTTGGTGCAGAGAAAACGGATGTGTGCACACAAGTCATAGACAGAATTTTTCCAGAAGTTCAGAATTTTAAACCTAATAGTGATCTGGTAGTCTCAGGCATTGGCCCTGTGAGATTCGATTAGATCAACTAGTTTTTGCAAAGGGGAAAGGTCAGGAACGTTTTGCTCAATAGAAAGCTTTAAATGCAAGTGTAGAGGTTCCATCATTTTCTTTTCTTTTTCCTTTTTGTAACTAGTGAAAACTTATGTTTTCTGTTACATGGCATTGTAGGGGCATGTAATGCTGGTCTCAAATTTTTATTCAAGCAAAAGAAAATAATACAAATGCTTTCCCCCTCCCAAATGAACTCCTGCTATATCTCACCTACCAAAAATCCTCCAGCCTACCACTTAGCAAGGATCTGCTAATGTTCTGGTGGCACAGAGAGAGAAAAGAAGGGTATTTTCTCCTGCAGCACCCAAGAACAAGTGTGCCAAGAACAAGACCCAAAGACAATGATGGATGTCAGTTGCCCATGGGAAATTTGCATTCCCCAGATTAGTTGCACCTGGTATAGAGCGTAGTGGCTTGAAGGGTGCTGGTGAAGAAGGGGGCAAGGCATGGGAGATCACTCCTTTCCCTTAGTTCCTCTCATCCTCTGTCACCAGAAGTGGGTGGGAAGGGGAGTTTTATTGGGTCAGAAGGAAGGTCAGGGAGCCTCACAAGCAGTTTGGTGGGAGTGGGTGGTCCACCTGAACTTATTTTTTTCTTTTCTTGGAAAAGACTTGTATGAAACCATAATTTATTCCAATGATTCTCTGAGATAGCCTTATTGAACTCATTGGCTTACAGGGCCGGTGCAAGTGGTTTTGTTTGTTGTTTGCACTTTAGTATAGAGGTAAGTGAGAGCTTGTGTTGAGCATGTGCTGCAGAACCTCTTGTGCTGTCTGTGGCTTGAGGCACGCCCCAAATTGTGTGGAGAGCTGGCCATATCAGAAGCAGTGAAGAGCACTGGATGCTTCCAGCATAACGGGCACTCCCTAAATTCTACATCCTTGGGACCTAGGCAGCTGTGTGTCTATGGTAGAGACAGCCCTGTTTCCCAGGAGACATTCATAGGGAACTAGACTTCATCAAATATAGATTTTGTGGGGGTTTTTTTTTAAAGAAAAGATCAATGGGAGCTGTCTTAAACCAAATCAGACCATTGGCCCACATAGCTCAGTATTGTCTCTCCTGATTCTCAGTGGCTCTCCAGAATTTCAGGACATTCCTAGCCCTACCTGGAAATGCTGGGGATTGAACCAGGGGATTGAATGAAAAGTGGATGCTCTACCACTGAGCTACAGGAACTCAAGCTCAGCTCAGGGCTAGTGATGGGTTAAGTGCCTTTGGCTTTGACCCCAGTCTTCTTGAATGCTCACAGAACATGACAAAAGCAAATCAATTAGGTGGTCTCTAGAGAATAGCACTGAAGAACATTCATTAGAAGCACCCTGCTGGATCAGTCCAAAGTATGATTGATCCCTGGGCCTCTATAGCTAATTTTGATCTATTTAAACAATGTTTTGAAGCCATCTAAGTTGGAAGTGTCTCCAGACAGCGCTGGCTCCCGGCCTCTTAAGTGAGATGAGCACACAACCCTAGAGTCGGACACGACTGGCCCGTACGGGCAGGGGTACCTTTACCTTTACCTATCCTCTATTTTATTCTGTGAACCACCCTGAGATCTTATGTTGAAGGGTGGTATATAAATCTAATAAACAAATACAATTTAAAATGTGCCCTCAGGTCTCAAGAGTTTGGTGTCCCCTGCCCTGCGAGTGGAGAAAATGAGCTCAGGGGCACATTTGGCATGATCTAGACTTGCCTTACATTGGCGTGACACATTCTGAACTGCATGTGCTCACCTCCACCACTACTTAGCAGCAGGTCTGCTTACTGCCTCTGTTTGTGAGATAGTTAATAATACAATGCTGTGCCAGTACACTAGACCTCACAGTCTTCTTTATTCCCCCATCCGTGTTCCCTAGAAGACGGTGATTTATATCTTGTTAGGGCACCAAGAGAAGCCTTGAGTTAAAGCCCTCCTATGCACATCCTGTACTATTTCATAGGGACTTGTCCCCTCTTTTTTCTTTCTCTTGATCCGCTTAATCTTTTAATGCATAATTAGGGAAAGTGCACAGTTGCAAATTTCCCTTCAAGGCAGGGCTCTCTCATTTGCCTAAAACAGCCAGCCTGTTCTGCCATCAGCGAAATGAACGAGGGAGAGAGAGCGAATGAGAGGAGAACGAGAGCGAGAGAGCGAGCGTGTATCTCATTGCTTTTCTCAATGGCCGGCTGTTCTCCAGCTCGCGCCTCCCTCCCACTACCTCTGTTCATTTGCATAATGAATTCCTCCGAAATGGCCATTGGCTGCCAGCAGCCGCGCTCGTGCGTGATGTCAGCGCTCACAGGGTAATGCCAGGGTTGTGGCGGGTAGTTGGAGCCTGTGAAAAATCTTCGCAGCGGTGGTGCCCGCAGATAGAAGAGAGCGAGGCTGAAGCGCCAAGCAAACGTGGAGTAGGAGTCTCGACTACTAGTAGCGGCGGCGGCGGCGGCAATAGTAGAAGTAGCAGTTGCCTTTCCGGCTGGAAGCGAAACCGCGAAACCACCACGCTCTTCCCCTTTCCTTCAGAAAAAGCAGCGAGAGAGGGAAGGGTGAGTCGGTGGGCAACCGGGAGAGAATGAGCGTCTCACCTGCCACGGCGACTGGCCAGTCTGAAGAAAGCGACGGCGAGTCCTGAGGTAATTCGAAAGGCCCGCTGTTCCCGCCAAAAAGGAGCTCCTCCGTCACCTGCCAGGGCGCAGGGAAGTCGAAGAAGAAGAGCCCAGGCTGCGAAGGGAGCTCAGTGCCTGCTCCGGCGACTCGGAGCCAAACGACTCGGGGGAACCTCCGGGCAAGGAGCCTGCGCCGGAGAACCCGGCGAGGAGGGAAAGGAGAGCGCTCGCCGGGGCCTGGGAGAGTCGCGCCAGCGGGCCAGGAGCGGGGGCCCCGTCGCTTCCCGAGACGTCTTGAAGAGACGCTGCGCGCCGCCCCCTTGCAACTCTCAAAGCCGGGCAGAGGCGGGAGGAATCCGGAGAGAGGCGGTTCTCTGGCCCCCAGGAACCCGCTCAGGGGAAGGTTCCGCCCCCACCCCCGACACCAAGCGGACGGCGGCGTTTGGCTTTCTCCACAGACTTGGCGAGGGAAAACGCGCGGTCCGTTCCCTTGTTTCAAAACCAAAAACGAATCTCCGGCGGTCAGGGGCGCGCGCGCGCGTTCCTGTCGCCGCCTGCAAGCGGCTGGGCGCGAGGTCGAGGCAAGCGCCCCCGCCTCCACCTTCCTCCTGCCTCTTCAGGGAAGAGGCTGCCACAAGGATGTGGCGGGACGTTTAGACCCTCTCGGGCGCGTCTGGTGGCGGCGGGGATTGGAGCGCGAATCCGCCTCGTGGGCGGCTGGTGGCTCCGCTTCAGGAGGATCCGCCTCAGCGGCCAGTTGGTTCCCGCTGGTGCCTGAAGCGGGAGGAAGCGTACTTTTCGGACTCTCGCCTCTTCCCCGCCCGCTCCATTCCATGGCAAGATGAACGCCGCCGGTCTGCCGCGCTTCTTCTTTCTGGCCGTTCTGGCCGCCTTGGCCGCCCAAGCGGTGCCCCGGGAAGCGGGGAGCTCCCCTCCGGGCTCCCGCCCGCCGCAGCGGGATGCGCCGAGTTTCTCCCGGCAGCAGAGGAAAAGCCTAGCCATGGATTTCATCGTGCCTTCTCTGTTCCGGACCTACCTGCGGGAGCTGGTGCTGGGCGGCGGGGAACCCTTGGGCGGGTTCAAGGCGCGCTGCAGCCTGGTGCTCGCCTGCCAGCCGCTGCTGCGCGCGGTCAGCTCTTGGCTCCCCAGGAGCGGGTCGGCGGCGCCTGCTGGCCGCGCCAGAGCCCCGTCCAAGGTGCTGAAAGGCGGCTCGGTGAGGAAGCTGCGCCGCGCCAAGCAGCTGGTGCTGGAAGTGGGAGAAGCCAACCTGCGGGAGGACTGCGCGTGGCATCCTGCCGGGGAAGGAGCCCAGGCAGAGGCACGCCAGATCGAGTTCACCCTGACCGAGGAATTCAGCTGGTGGATCCGCTCTGGAGAAGGCAGGCTGAGGATCCGGCTGATGCCCGAGAGGAAGGCGTCCTTCCAGGGCAGAGAAGGCAGTTTATCAGCGGCGATCAGAGCCTCCCAGCCCCGTCTGTTCTTGCAGATGGCCACCAGAGGTGAGCAGCTGCTTAGCGACTTCTGCATCCGGACAAGATGCAGGGCTTCTCCCTTACTAGCGGGATGGGGGTCAAATCTGTCCCTGGAGAAAGTTTGGGAACTCTACCAGGAATGAAATAGGGGGGGGGGAGAGGTGTCTTTGCCTTCCCAGAGTCCACCCCTTCGGGCTAGGATTATTTGGATTAGGAAACCTAATCTCAGAAACCTCTAGGAGGTATTTTGCTGCTGCCTCTAAAGTCGACTCTACTTCTTGTAGAGAAGTTATGTAGCTTATCACAAGAATCCACTGGAAAGAGTTTGTAATCTGCTCTGAAATTTCTGCACAGATCTTAAAATAACCAGTCACCACTGCAGGAAAGGGTGTGTATTTCTGAATAGAACTGAAAGAGTTGCATGGAAACTATATGCCTGTTGTGCTTGTCTAAATTCCTCTTCTCCCTTAATTGCTTGGCCTTGTGGTGTCCAGTGCAAAAATATTGTACTGCAGGCTGATGGGCATAAGGCTCTGCAGCACTCTATTTGGGAACCTTGATTCTCACTTAGTGGCATAAAGGGTTGTTATCAAAGGCAAAGTTCTTCCTTCCCTTGACCAGGAAGCTGCCCTCTCCCTCTTGTAGAAAATAATAAACGAGTAATCATTATCACTATGGTCTAAAAAGCATCTAGTTTGGTTCCAAAGCACTTCGGTTAGTCTACTAAGAAGCAATTGGGCTGTGGACTGCTCTGGTTCTAGATGTTTATTTTATCTCGGGAGATGCAAGTGGTTCCTTGAATTTCTGTGTCATTGGCTAACAAATCACTGTTGTACCTGGTTACCCAGAAGAAAGTTCCACTGATTTCAGTGGGAATTATTTCCAGTTAAATGTACCCAGTAAAAGTAAACCACATTTTACAGGATTATTCAAGACAGAGAGTAGAGAGGGTCTTGAATCTCTTGGCCCTGGAAAAAGAGAGATACAAAATGAAGTTTTGATTGGATCAAGCATGTTTGTGAAAAATTGTGTGTGGTTTGAGTTTCAAGGAACTGTAGCCTAGAAAAAAAGACTTTATGAAGTGGTTGGTTGATAAGCAGGATGTATTTCTTTAGCTGTGGTTCACAAGTCTCTCTGGTCTCTCTAGTCTCATGTAAGTCTATAACTGCTAAAGCTGTCAACTGATTAATGACCAGTGACCAGTCTTCATTTCAATTTATCTCTTCTTCCATTAATTACTGGATTAAAATCAATATCTCTGCATTCCAGTATGTGTGTCTTAAACACATTCCTTCAATCAATAGATTCCTACTGACTGTTATCAGCATGCCTTAAAAAGTTTTCTGTAAGATACAGTGTAATTCAAATTCCTTGTGTTTAATGTATGACACATTAATTCAGTGAAACAGATGAAAATTTGTCCCCATAGCTTGCTTGTAAGGTTACAGAAATTACATTATGGATTACCATGGGGATATAAAGTAGGATAACAGCTAACTCCTCAATTTTGTTGAACTACTGATTTAAGTTTATGCAGCCAATGAATTGAAGTAGACTAAACTGCTGTAAAGTAGAAGTATTTAGGTTTAATTAAATTGTATACCAGACTGCCAGTTTTCAGTTTACTGATTCCAGAGTAGTTCTGAGCTCCCTTGGGCTACTTTAGAGTAAATGGAGTGAAGACTGTACTGTGTGTTATGCACAAGCAGAGTATACTGAGAAGTCCCAGAATTTATTTCTTAAGGAAAAATGCCTAGACAGTGCATAAAGTCAATGCACAGGGACAAGAGACACATTCTTGGAAGAGAAGCATACACATGGGGAAACCTCTTAGTATCATTCTTCTTTTAATGACATTTTTGTATCCAAAGGGAATGCTTCTATATTCTATGACAGTAGTGGCCAGTTGACAGCCTGCAGGCTGCATTCAGCCTATACTTTGATACTCCCACTACCAGGATGAAATCAGTATGAAAGTCCATCACATGTCCTTCTGTTTTGGAATGAGATTGGCACTTGCTGAGATCTTCTGTTCAGGGAAGCATAGGCAAGATATCCTGGTGGCTGCAATGCTATCATTTCCCAAATTTCTCTAGGCCATGAATAGCTTGACCAGGCAGGGCCTGTCTCTTCTGACTGAAGAAACTGCCTGTCCCTCCTCTGAGAGATTGACTGATGACCATATATATTGATTCAGTCTCATTAACTCCTGTAAGGTTAGACCAGTGCAAGAGATCACTGAATTGCATGCCCCCTTGTTCCAATCGTTCCCTGTTGAATTTCCTGATAAAAAACAACAACAGATCACTTCTTTTCCCCATATGTTGAGTGCTGATATGATCTAGACTGCAGCTCTTTCTTTTCCCTGTCATTTAAGTAAAATTATGGTATAAATTAACCTCATATCCCTTATAATGTGCCATAAGGACATAAGTTAGAATTTTATAATGCAGAACCCTAATCAGTGGAGTGTTAGTAACCCCATAGTTAATGGCCTGCAGAGCAGTCTTAAATACATCTTTCAAGAGAGTTGTATATTCCGATTGGTTTGGAAATGAAAGCTGAAGCATCCACCTTCTGTCTTATATAGGAATAAATGGTCCAGAAAGTTTAAAATTGCTGATAGGACTTCAGTGGGCACAATCAAGATTGAAAGCATTCTAACCGAAATAAAAATTGGACAAGCAGGGCTTATACTCAGTTTTTTGAGCTATGGTGATGGACCTCCTGTGGGCACTTTAAAAAAAACATGTTGCTGAAGCTCTGCCCTCAATTCCAGAACAATCAAAGTTGTGATTTTCAGAGAAACAGATCCCACAGATCCTTCTGGTTACTATTTGGGACGCCTGTGGGTAATATTCTTTCCATATGCTACCTACCATTCTTCTGAGTGGTTCTGTTGCTGGGATTCACAGTAGTTCAGACCTGCTGTTAGTTATATCTTCAAATATATTATATTTGCTCCATTATTAAGTATGACCATGCATTTAGTTTGAAGGCATATTTATTTGATGCTTTGTTAATAACACAATCTACAAGCAGCAGCTCATCTACACACAAGAGCTACCAATGTTGTTTGCAGGAGCCAAGTTGTTGCAGAAAGGGCATAGCTGAGATCTTCCTTGCAAAACATGTAAGCAGTTGTTCATCTTAATAGGAAACATGTTGCAAACAATGCAATCCTAAAGTCAACAATGCAAAGCCTTTACACTCTCATTGGTAAACAGTAGACTTTTCCTTATTGCGTGTTTAGTGAGTAGTTCACAATTGCCAGAAGTTGAGATTAATAATTAACCTGACTTTATTTATTTATTTAGGCTGGCAAAGTTGTTCTTTTTGTAGATTGAGATTAAAATATTGATGGTCTGGGAAGCAAAGTGTAGCTGAACTCTGCCTCCCAAATGAGCAAGAAGTTCCAGTAAATGTTCTTGTTGCCTCAACTGTCACTCCAACCTCTACTCAGAACCCACTGAAGGTTATTTTAAAAAATTGCTTAGCTAAAGCCTATATCCTTTCCCTATTTAACAAATCACTCTGGAAGAGATTTCTATGAAGGATAATCCTCAGCGTGTGTGGGAAGTATTATTAAGAAGACAGTGAAAGATTGCAAGAAAAGCCATCTTAAAGGATGGCTGCAAAAGCTCTATTGAACACCCCGCAGAATGTGTCAACAAAAGTCTTTAGATGAAATGCTCAGTTCTCAACAGTTAAGCATAACATCCCTTGTGTTATGGGGGTTCTGTGCTGGGGTTCGCAACCTTTGCCATGGTGACTTTTTCTAAGGGTGTTTGCAGCTTTCAGTAATGTTCTCAGTTTACAGGATGGGTAGGCAAACTATGGCCCGGGGGCCAGATCTGGCCTAATTGCCTTCTAAATCCAGCCCGTGGACAGTCCGGGAATCAGCGTCTTTTTACATGAGTAGAATGTGTGCTTTTATTTAAAATGCATCTCTGGGTTATTTGTGGGGCATAGGAATTCGTTCATTTTTATTCCCCCCCCCAAAATATAGTCTGCCCCCCCCATAAGGTCTGAGGGACAGTGGACCGGCCCCCTGCTGAAAAAGTTTGCTGACTCCTGCTTTACAGGGCCAGTTTACAGCCAGGAGGTCCTTAAGATTTAGCAATGGCAAACTCTGAAGATGCAGAAAACGTTATAACCTTAGATAATTCTAGTAACGAAGTCCTGGTTCTTACATTTGCCAGGGACAGTTCTGCTCTTGCAAGGTGGAAGAGGGGGCTAGCTCTAATTCCTCCACCATGCAAATGGCATCACGTGTGAGTCACATGCTCCACACAAACATCTATTCGTATGGATGTCAAGTTCACACAGTCTCCTTCCTCACTCATGAACACACACTGTTCGGGAGAAAGGACAACCTGGACTAGGCCTGTCTGTGTGATAGGGCATTTTTGTGAATGGAGTGCCCTGCTCACATTAGATGTTATCTGCGTGGTGGAGGGGAGTGGGTGAGCATGCTCCTCCACCTTGGAAGGACAGCTCTAGCCCAGCACCAGTGAATGTATGATCTATATCAGGCAATGATCTATAAACCACTGGTCCATGTATTTCATCTATACTGTAGATGAAATGTTTTCATTTGCTCCTTGAAGCAAGTTTGTTAGGATGTTTCAGTAATCTGTAGATAGTAAGGAGGATTTAACTTTTATTGATGATGAATTGTTACCAATATATTCAAAAGTGTATGTGTATAGGGGTGCATATTAAAGCACAGACAGTGCAAGCCAGTCTAGAGACAATTCAGAAGGTCATGCCACTTTGATGTATGAGACAGATTGAGATGTTGAACAGTGTTCCTAATAGGAATACATAGTATGTCCATTTGAGACTTCAGGGTGCATTTCTTCCTAATCTATAGCACACATGTAGACTAATACTAATTTAATATGGGGTTATGTCTGAAGCTGTTCTGGCGCCATGGGAGTGTAATTGCATTTTTGTTAGAGTTACTGCTACGCTCACACTTCAAAAGCACCTGGAATGTTGTGCTGGAGGATTCCCTCAGTCTA